GATCCCGGGCAGGCTGCTGCTCTGATTCTACACACCCAGGGGCCACGTCCGCGCCGGCACTGGGGATGGACCCTGCCGAGCCGTGTCCCGGGTGGCAGGGGACAGGTGTCCTGCAGACACCCGCCCGGGGCTGTGGGAGGCCGTGGAGGGGCAGTGGGTGGCCCCGCCGACTCACCGAGAGGATGCGGTCTCCCCTCCGCAGCTCCCCACTGAGGTCGGCAGGGCCTCCAGCCAGGATGAAGGACACGAAGATCCCCTCACCATCTTCCCCCCCAACAATGTTGAAGCCCAGGCCAGTGGAGCCTTTGTGCAGGATGATTTTCCGGGGCTCCCTGGAAGGACAGACACGGGACAGGGAGACATCAGGGTGAGGAGCAGCGAACCTGGTGACAGGGTCAGCCGTGCCCGGGCGTTCCAGCACGCTGGTGGGGCTGGAGTCACCCTGAGTGTAAACTGCCGTGACAGCCCTCGGCACTGAGGAGGCTGATAAACCGGGAGAGGTGTGGGCAGTTGCACAAGTGACATGAGACAGAGCACAGACGGAGACAGAGCATCTGCTGTGAAATCTCGCACAGAAACATCGGACTGCGAGGCGGCATCGGATGCTGCGAGCCTGGGCATCGAGGACGGCGTGGCCGTGCCAGGAGAGGGTGATCAAGCCCCTCAGCACCCGTGCAGCACGGCAAGCGTGCCGCAACCCCATGCACCCCCATGCCACAGGCCCTGTGCGGCTCAAGAGAAGTCCTAAATTTTTTGATGATGACTTAATTCTTTCACAGCTCCAACAATAGGCAGGCAAAGGCAGAAAGACTGCCTGGCATCGCAAAAATCCTGTGTCAATTTTCGTCTGGGAAAAAAACCCCTAAGTCTGATGGGAACAACGGCAGCTCCCAGCTTAAGCACTGGATTAAAATAAGAAGGAATAAATGACGCCAGACAATTAGCATAGGCTGGCAGTGATTGTCGGCCAGCATGACACTGAGGACCATCAGTGCATCCACTGCGGTGACCAGCTGGATCCTGGGCACTCTGGAGGGTACCGCAAGGACTGAGGACCTGCCAGTGAGCTCAGCAGCCAGATCAACCCCATGCCTGCCAGGGAGCAGAGGGAGATCTCTGGGACACAGTAGGAGAGATGCTGGAGCCCCAGGCATGGCACTGGCCGAGGGCACCCGCAGTGGACCCTAAAATGCTGGCAGTTGTGCTAAGGGGACCCTGGGGCACCGGGGGGGCTGGCCCAGCGGGGCCCCCCCGGCTGCCGGCAACAGCCGGGGAAGGAGCAGGGCTCAGGCAGCATGAGCAGAGCAGGGACCCAGAGGAATAAAGTTTGGCTGAGCAGCCAGCATGAAGCCCTGAAGCCTGGTAGTGTGCTCCCAGGCCACTCTTGCAAGAAAACATCTTTTTCAGCCCCCTGTGCCAGGCTGGAGCATCACTGCTGTCACCTGGGTGAATGGGGGAAGGTTTTGGTGCTTTCACAGATGCAGGCAGCAGGATTTACCTCCAGGGACACGTGCCAGCACCCCAGGAAATGTCTCCCACCATCCTTTCCCGTGGGGGAGTCCTGATGCACTGAATGTCACTTAGCTCCAGGCAACCACCTTATAAGGCAGGAGAGGGACAGACAGAAGTGCGGGACATCCAAGAAGGTCTTGGTGGGCTCCTGCCCTGCCCAGGCCCCGGGCTCAGCACAGCCTGACCCTCCTGGCTCTCCCAGCCGCTCCTCTCCCCATCCCCACACCTCCCATGAGGCACTGCAGCACCCTGGTCCCCTACCTCTGGTCACACTTGCTCCTGTGGCCTTGCTGTTGCCTGGAAGGGGACAGGGATGGCTGACCCCTGTAGGACATGGACGACGAGACATTGACCGTGAACATTGCGGTGTGGCAGGCTCTGCTGGCGGCACTGGCCAGGAGCCCTGTGAGGCAGGAATGTTCTGAATGCTCCGCGCCACGGCCGCCCCGTGCTGCCTGACTCTGCCTCTTGCTGGCTGCGGGGCCGGTGGCTTCCCAGACCCACACACAGGGTTTTTTATGGAAGCGCTGAAAGGATGCAGCCTTCGCTCTGTTAGACCCTACAGACTTAACTCCTTCCTGCCCCTGCAGGCATGGACAGCACTGCCCCGACTGGGGGGAGCACCCAAGTGAGGGCAAATTCGCAGCCCGGCTCCCCGTGCCTGCAGCTCCACACACACCATGCATCACCGCAGCCCCTTGCCTTCAAATGCAGAGGTATGGCAGAATCATAACTCCAGCTACGCATTTCTGATGGGGCAGAGGCTGAATCTGCTTTGTGACCTCCAGAAAATACCTGCTTTATCCTTATGGCCTTTGGATGCATTCGAGCTCTGAGCTAAGCGAGGCTCAGGGCTTGGCTGGACCGTAGCGTGGGGCTGGGATGCAGGCATCAGTCCCTCTGCAGCAAAGCTATGCCTGGGGCTAGAGCTCTCCCAGGGGAAGAAATAGGTCAGATTTCTGGGTCTGCAAACCCTGCCTCCAACCAGCTGATGAACTTGCTCTGCCCCTTGGGTTTTGCTGCTGCCCAAGCAGAGTGCAGGAACCACCACCCCAACTTGGCCTGGTGGGAAGCATCACCAGCACCCATGAGGACCAGGCGGTTTGGTGGAAGGTAGAGAGACACTACAGGAACCAAGAAGAGGAAATGAAGCTCCAGACAGGTACATCTCAGGTCTGTCATGACACGCACTCTCTGCTTCCATCCTCATCCTGGGTGGCAGGACATGGATCCCGCAGGCAGATACCACGCTGGATGTTGCAGCATTAACACTGGGACCTCGGTGCAGAGTGACTGCGGGAATCCTGTGGGGCTGTGCCGGGTCTGGATTGCAGTGGTGGAGCTCATTGGAAAACAGATGCTCTGGTCCCTGGCCCCGGGTGCTGCAGGACACGAGGGTCACTGGAGCCACATCTGCATCTGCAGCAGTACTTGTGCCCATGGGAGGCGAAGGGGCTTGATACTGGATCCAGGTCAGGACCTCTGCTTCTCCTGGGGAATGGCTGGCAGGAGCCTCCTGGCTTTTTCAGGGGAGTCGCTGCCTTTCCCCACACCAGTAAGATGCATTTGGACCACACCGGTCCCAGTGCACAATCGTGGTGATGCACGAGCCAACAGACCCGCAGTGATGCACATGAGTTTTTCAACACTGCCCTGGGATGGATGAGGGAGGTGCTGAGCCCACCACAGGCTGCGAATCTGGCGGGGAGCAGGGGGCTGTGGCTGGGTACAGTGGCCAAGCGTGCCAGCCTGTCTGCAGCGGGGCCCTCTGCAAAGCAGCACCATCCTCTAGCGGCCACTGGCACGTGCTGCACCAGGGCCACTGCCAAGCCACCGCTGAGCCACCGCTGAGCCATTGCCGTGCCATTGCCACTGGGCCGTGTCCAGCCCAGGCTGGGCTGCTCCCTCCGCTCTCTGGCTGCAAATAAGGACATCAATGCGTGTAGGAAGGGACACCCTGGTGGGACCGGGGTCCCTGGCAAGAGACAGATGGTGCGTTTTCCGAGTGCTGGGACTCAGTCCCTTCTGTGGTGCAACGTAATGGCAGAAAGCACTGCTCCTGGGTGTGGCATCATCCCCCAGTGCCCTGACAGCACAAGAGTTGCTACACCCAGCGAGGATGCGGCACCAGGAACAGGCTGTAGAACCAGCATCATTGGTGCCGAGACCAGGTGGGAGAGATGGGGCATGGGCGGAGGCCAGTGCTGCACAGGTCACGGAGCACAGAGGCACCCAGCCGCAGACGAGCACCAAGCAGCGAGAAATCCCCATGATGAAGGTGAGTGCAGCCACCCTCTGGGAGGACAGTGGACCTGATGCTAGATGGCAAGTCAGGGTCTCCCGTTCTGGCATCCACCAGCACCCCGCAGAACGGGACAATCCCAGCTGAGGCTACAGCATCTTCCACTGCAAATGCAACCCTGAAACCAGCCTGCAACCTCGCTCCTAACTGCAGAGCCAGCCCTAAGCCTAACCCGAGTGTCAGTCCTAAGAATACAGCCTGAGCCCTACAGCCCTGGCCCTGGGGATACCAAACCCAGAGCAGGCTCAGCACTGGCCCCGAGGCTGTTGGAAGCAGAGGGAAAGCTGTGAGCCCGGGCAAGCAGAGCAGGATCAGCCAGGTCTTGCTCTCTTGTCCTCAGCATGAGGCTTTGGAGAAAGTTTTACACTGCCTTTAGGCTTGGAGCAGTGTCTCCTTTGTGCATCTCTTTATTTCCCGGGTTCAGGAAACAAACCTGCTCACGCAGTGTAAATGATGCTAGTGGGGAAAAGGTGTCCATGCCAGGACTGTGCAGGAGGCTGTCAAGCCCGGGGCTGGCAGCCGGTGAAATGGCACCTGGGTGCAGGTGGTTTGGGATGCTGGGCTCAGGGAGCACGGGAGGAGGAGCCTCCCGTACTTGTACCCAGAGCTGTGCCCCCCCCGGCCCCTCACCCCCAGCACAGCTCCACTTGGGGACAGCCTGCTTGCAGCCTGGGAGCCTGTGGTGCTGCCAGCACCAGATGGCACCGTAAGGGCAGGGAACACCTTGTATTCCAGGTATTGTAAAACAAGTAAGAGAACGAAGCTGAAATGCAGACATGTAAGGCTCGGGGAGGAGCAGGAGGGGGAACAGGGAAGGGGGGGATGCAGCGAGCCGGGGAGTGACACAGCAGGGCTGATCTCGGCGGGGTGAGCACGGAGCTCACTGCGGGGGCCCCAAGCTTTGCACCACGCACCCACAAACGGGCTTTCGGCCGAGGGTCTGCACCGGCAGCAGGGATGAGGTCAGGTAGCCAGGGAGGGAAAAAGAGGGAAGGAGAAGGAGCAGGGATTAGGGATGCTTATGCCTAGTACTCACCTGGTGAAGTCCTCATCCCCGATCATGTGCCGAGGGATGGGCGAGTACCGGGACGGAGTCACCTGGGGAGGGACGGGGTAGGCAGGCTTGCTCTCAACGCTGCCCAGGTAGCCCAGACTGGAGTTATGGCTTATGTGGTTGTCAGCCAAGGCTGAGAAGGCTGCAAGGGAGGAGAAGGGCATCAGGAGCAAAAATCCATCCACAACATGGACGTGGAGACCAGCCCAGCATTGCCCGCCGCCCCAGCACACTCTGTCCTCCCTAGCCCTGTGGTGCCCAGGCTGCCGCGCTAGCAGCCAGCGGCGTACGTACTGCTGGCATAGTCGGGGGGCGCATACATGTCGTTGAGGTGGATGTTGCCAGGCTTGGCCACCTTCAGGTACACCATGTCGGAGGTGTTCTTCAGGGCGGCCACTGCCTCCTCGTGCCGCACGTCCTGCAGGTTCGTGTTATTCACCTGCCGGAGGAAAGGGGCTGGGTGACACAGCCACAGGCAGGAGGGCAGGGGCCGATGTAGCCCTGCAGGAGCGGAGTGGTTTCCCGCAGGGTAGGTGCCGCAGTAGCTCCGGAGACAGGGTCCCATCTCCATGGGTTTGGCCCTCCTGCCTGCGGCTGGTGCTGCGCCTCCCACAGCACCATCCCAACAGGGACCCCAGGGAAGGGGCATGGGGCGCCGGCAGGACTGGGGCTGCGGTTCAGGATTGGCACCTACAGCGGAGACTGCCCGGCTTCGCCTCGCAGCCAGCTGCGGGCATGGGGCTTACCGCGAGCAGCCGGTCCCCGATCTGCAGGCGCCCATCCTTCTGGGCAGCGCCTCCCTCGATGATCTTGGTGATGTAGATGCTGTTGTCCCCGGGGATGTGCTGGTTTCCGATGCCCCCTGCGATGCTGAACCCCAGGCCTGAGGGGGAGTGAGAGGGCAGGTGAGGGGTGAGGGACAGATGGATGGACAGAGCCCCGGGCTGGCACCACGGCCCCTCTGCCTCACTGGGCTTCCCACCCTGCCCCAAACGTGGCAGGCAATGGGCCACCCCACTGCTGTGCAGGGATAGCCCAGCCACTGCGCACTGCACCGTGGGGCTGTCCCACACCCCGTGCCCCATAGCATCCCATGCTGCTGGGCTACCCTGCGGCATCCTGCACCGTGGCGGTGCCACCTCGCATCTCACGTCCCCCGTGATGCTGCTTTGCACCCTGTGGCATCTCACACCGAGGGGTCACTCCACACCATCCTGTGGGGCAGCGGGGCTCCCTGGTCCTGCAAGCAGAGTGAGGGGTTCACCTTTGGGGCCCTTCATCAGGTTGACCTCCATGATGGTCTCTGGCGGGGGCTGCCGGCGGCGCACCACGAGCCGTACCACAGGGCCCGCTTCCTTCAGAGCCTCCACGGCTTTGCTGTGCACCACCTCGGAGACGTCCACGTCATTCACTCGCAGCACACAGTCGTTCACCCTGCAGGCACAGGGTGGCTCTGAGCTACCCTGAGGAACTGCCAGCCCGTGCCACCCTCCTCTGAATACCTCTGCCGCCCTCCTCCGGCCACGTAGACCCTTGTGCAAAGGAGAGCTGCTCAAGCTGGCCAGATTCTGCCCTGCCAGGGTGAGAGTGGGGTCCCTCCCAAAGCGGGAGGCAGTGGGGGCTGGTCCCCACAGTGCGACCCTGGTGGAGATGGGAAATGAGGGGAAAGCCTGGATCCTGCTGCAGACTGCAGGGGGAAGGATGAGAGCCAGAGCCCGGTGCAGGGAGGGGAGGAGAGGTGGCTGCAGACAGGAGGCTGGTGGCACGGGACCATGGGCATCCCCGTACTGAAGGGACCTGGCAATGGGGAAGGGACCGGGGGGGCTGGGGACCATGGCAGGGGAGCAGGACAGGAGCTGCCTAGAGGGACCCTGGGGAGATCCCGGGTGACACCCTCATGGGGCTGCTCCCCCGGCCCTGTACACTCACCCCAGACGGCCGTCCATGGCTGCTGCTCCCCCGGGGATGATTTTGGTGATGAAGATACCCGGGTCATCTGGAATGTGGGGGTTATCAATTCCTCCTGCTATGCTGAAGCCAAGGCCGGAGTTACCCTGTGGAAAATCAAACACCGCGTCTTTCCCCCATGGGCAACTGTTTGCTGCTGGCCCTCCCGAAGTAGTTGCCCCCAAGCCACGGCTGCCCAGGGCACAGGAGCCCTTACAGCATCTGTCGTGCCCCAGGGTGCCCAGCTCCGGGGGCAGAGGGCTGTGTGGCAGGAGGGGAGGCCGGTGCTCATCAGCCGAGGTGCTCGGTGCAGCAGCACAGAGCACCGAACAGATGCAGCGGGAGAGTGGGACCCGCCGAGGACCGCCGCGTCTCCTCCAAGAGACTCTGAGGCAGGCGGTGAGCTGGGGGAAGAGGGGGTGGTCCTTGGCGGAGCAAACCTCCCCTTGCTGGCTGCTCTCCAGGAGGAGACACTGATGCTGCAGCCTGCATGGAGCAGTGGGGCTTGTGCCAGTCATCAGCATTCCACCCCTGCCCCCTTGCACCCTGGGATGCAGCCCTGGCATGGAGCCGACCTGGGGACAAGCAATGCTGATGCCAAAATTTTCAGGATTGGGTGGGGGGGGCTGTCAGGATGGAGTGGGGTCTCCAGTTCTGCCTCCTCTTCCTCCCGCACATGCTTGGAGCATCATTTGATCTTTGTCCTG